AAAAAAAAAAAAAAACTATATCTAAATTTTATGTATCTCCTTATACCAAGTACACAATAAAGATAGTGAAATCTTGATTTTAATAAAATGATTGTATGATATAAAAAGCCTTATTTAAAGAATAAAGAAGGAACTAGTAGGATATAACTTTTATATATAGTAATGCACATCTTTAGGCTATGTATAAAATAGAAAAATAGTGAAACATTAAAAATCTAGGAATGTATGTACAATATTAATATAACACATGAGCTAAAAAATGACATAAAATACATTAAAACATAATTCATTATCTATATAATATTATTTTCTTAAATAACAACAATTAATTCCATATATTTAATTTAATATATTAGTATTCTTGTTTACTATATTTATTAAAAATATTATACATTTAACATAATATACATGCACTAATTCTACATATATATAGGGCTTATTTTTCATACTAAGTAGACAGCAGTTTCTGCAGTAATATGTGCAGTTAATACATGTGTGATACATTAGAATATATAATGATTACACAAAAAACGATCAACGTGTTATAAGGTTATACAAATTTAGAAGTTAAAAATAATAAATATTTTATCTCTATTACATCAGAAAATGAAATGAAACAAAAATATTAAGGATCAAAAATATTTAAAAATGATTTAATAATGATATAATGTATTTGTTCCTGTTTTGACGCTTTATAAATTTAGCTTTTATTAATATTTCAGGTTTTTTAAATATTTCCTTGTATATAATATATTTATAAATGGTAAAAACTATAATACCATTATATATACGTATATAATATATCATTATCGAGTATCTAAGTACAATATATAGATATTTAATTTATATTAATATTAAACTATTATTTAATTCTATTAATGAATATTTTATTCACTGTGTACTCCATAAATATATTTACGTATATTTTTTAGTTACATTATCTCAGTAAAAATACCAAATTGGGGTTAAATTTTTTACGTTTATCATCTTTTACATTTATATAGAAGTCTTCCTTTTTGTGTAAGATTAATTATTTCTTCTTTCCGTAAGACCTATAGTGATAATATACAATTTACATATTGTAATGAAATATATTTTTTTTCGATACTTTGTAATATATTTTTTTATTCATTTATAAATTAGTATTAAAGTAATTTATTGACAATTTTTTTTTTCTGTAATATTGTGTACATGTATTTATAATAAAAAGAACATTGATATCATAGCAATTTCAATGATATTATAGACAATAATATAAATATGTAATAAAAATTTCTTATAATTTTTAGTTGAATAATATTACAAAACATTAATTTAATGATTTATTAACGCTTACAATTTATTTATATGTAGTTAAATTATAAGAACTAAAAATTCATTGTTATAAAAACTATTATTGTATTTCACAACTAGTATATTATTAAACGTAATAAAATATATATTTTATATTTTTTCATGCTAATTAAACTTATTATTATATTATAATATCCTAGTTATAAACTTTTTATGCAAATAGGATACAAATTTAAACAATTCCTCCTTTTCATGAATTATTCATTAATTAAATAATGAAAATTAAAACATAACAGAAGCAAATATATTCATATAAATTTTTTTTGAAGTATTTGTATAAAAGTATTATAATAATATTATAAACTATTGTATAATATGACAATATAGTGCATATATATATTAATGTTATAGTATTGCTCTATTCATTAGTAAATTCCAATTGTATTTCTATGTAGTTGTAGAAACATCTGTAATTTGCAATATACGTCACTTTCGTATTATAGAATATACAGGGATTCATAGTAAATAAATATTAATAAATTATATATTTTTTTTTTTAATAATGGTTGAATGTAATATAGTTGTAAATAATATAAATGTTCAAAAAAAATATGTGCTGATTATAAGAGGTAGGTATATAATTAAGTAACCCTTTTATAATATTTTGTTAATAAATTACATATAAATGTTGTAATTTAAGAATCATGTTAAAACATTTAAAACATAATATATTTATGATAAATAACAATAACTTGACATAAACTCAGGGAATAAACAAATAAAGAAATATAATTATTTATTTTTCATGGATATTTATAATCATAAATTAACTTATATGATAAATACTATGAAAAAATGTATTTATCATCTGATTAATTTTTTTTAATATTTATGAAATGATAATATAATATTTACTTATTTTGCTCTGAAAATCATGTGTGAAAATAAAAAAAAGAAAATTATTTCGTTTAATACTTAAACATTATGCGGAAGAATATATCAATTTGCAGTTGCATTGTTTTAATCTGTAATATGTCAAATTAAAAAAAATTATGATATATTTGAAATAATTTAAATCGAAAAAAAATATATATATTCAATATAGTTCAATTTGTCATTTGAAACATGCTCTTTTACTATTATATTATATGATTATATATTTTGATATGTTGAAATGAAAAAATAATATAATTGTGAGAATTACATATATATTGTATATTTTGGATGTAACTATGTTCTCATTGTACATTTATATATATGCACAAATGGTACTTCCTCGATTCATAGGAAATAATACTAATTTTAATATATAATTAAAATATATCTAATATATAAATAATAAAAGGGCAAATATATATTAATAAAAATATGCATATTAAATATTTATTCATATTAAATGTAGAAATTTTCATAGTTATTATAATATATTATGTTATTAAGACAAATTATTCATTGTATTTATACATAACTCATTAAAATAGCTAGAATTCCCATAAAATTATTATGAAATATTATAAGAAATATAAAAATAACATAATAAAAAATATATTATAAAGTAAAGTATTTAACGTGTATGTAAGCATTAATATTTATACAAAAAACAAATAATCATGTAATTATTTGTATTTTCAAATAAATAACACATTTTAGTATTCTTATATATTATA